TCTTTATTCGGTCAATTTTTATTCATGTGGAGGATTGTTGGAAAAAAATGAGTTTTTGGTAACTTTAATGTCAAATTAAGTAGGTCCCAACCATTGGTTGAGGTGGGATTAAATGGGTTTAGATTCTTTGTAACAAGATTTTTACACTGTAAAAAGAATGACAAAAAACCATTAAGATTTAAATGAAAAATTAACTCATTAAGTTGGACTAGTGTTGGGAAAGGTGGCTGCAGGATTATACACAATATACATGTGTATAAAACCTGGTAACTCCTTTGTATTCATGATGGATTAAAGCCATCAATTTTGCAATTTATGTCTTGGGAGTTTTGCAAAATTAAAACATGCATTTGTTGCAGGAGCATTTTCCTCTCTCCTTCCATGTGTATAAAAGGAGACTTTCTCCTTCATTCTTGTACATCATAAAGTTTGCTCTCCCTTTTGTGTTCAAAGTTTTGTTCTAGAATTTTTATTCTTCATGTGTGAGAGAGTGCTGCCATTGTCGGTTCGCCAAAGCTAACAGAATATGCTTTTGCATTAGCCGGTCTAAACCGTCGTATCCTGGGAGATAGAAGTCGGCATACCTCTAGCTCCCACAGTGAGGTGGCTAATCTGTTTTAAGGACACAATGGTATCACATAGGTTTCGGATAATTTTATCTTTGATGAGTAGAAATAAGGAAAAATTACTCATAAATCCCACTTCGATAAATGTTTCACTACTTAGTCCTGAGTGTTTTTTTCTTAAACCATTTAGTCATTTTTATTTTTGGTATAATATATTTTTTTGATTTATTGTATATGAGGTTTACTTTTTTGGCCATATTATGATTTGTTTTTTGTTTTTTTTTCTGGTGTGTGGGTTTAAGGATATACTGTAACATTACACTTTTTTTAGGAGGGGATTTCATGGACTCATATGGAAGCATATAATGTTTCACAGTTGGTGATCGTGGTGCTGACGTTGTTTTGGGGTGCATTGATGTTCATTTTCTGGGTTGGGTGTTTGCGTGTTGCTGTTTGATTCTTCGAGGTTTTATGCGATTGGCGTGCTATGTGAATTTATTTCAGGTTAGTTTTATTTCAGTTTTATGTTTCATATTTGTGATGGGTTTTTTAATGGTGTTTTGTTGTGTTAATTGGACTATTGTGTTTATGATGGTTGTTATGGTTCTAGGTTGTCTTGGATGTTTAATTTTTTATTTTATTTTTTTGGATTTTCTGCGGTTTGTATGGGGGTTCCTGTAACAATCCCGACCCATGATTAAGGTTAATCCATACTTAATTATGCCTAATAAGAAATTAAAGTGAAGTTTTGTATCATATGTTGCCTTATTTGTGTTTATATCTACTTAGCGTAGAAAGATCTATTCATGTTTTCGTTTCGGTTTGCGAATTGAAGGCCTTGTCGGCATCCAATTCAGAAATTGACTTGATTTATGTGTTAATTAGAATTTTTAGAATTTTATGGTAGGTTCAATTGAAATTCAATTCGGAACGAAATAGTTAGAATAATTAATGCTCATTTGATTAGTGGTAAGCCTAATTAATTAGTCTATTAACCAAGCCTATATAAGGCTTCTATATGCATCTCAACTCACCTTTCTTCATCATTTTATTGATACCAACCGTGAGAGAGAGTAGAAGAAAGAGACCAAGAGTGAGAGTTTGATGTTCACACTTGAGTTTGGGAAGAATTTGCTAGAAATTGAAGGAATTGGCCTTACAGACACAAGAATCAAACTTCTAGCTCTCACCTTGACAAGCCTAGGTAAGAATTCAACACTTAGATTGTACAATCATGATGTGTAGAACATGAACTCTAAAGAATTAAGTTGGTTGACACAAGAATTAAGTTGAAATTGATGAAATTGAGTCATATCTTGCATACATGCATAATTCTCATGATTTTGTAGTTAATTCAAAGAAATCCCTCTTGCATGTCTTCATTTTAGTCTTATCCTAAGAATTTAACAAGTTTTTGAGTTAAACACCTCATGTGATCAAGTTTTGAAAGCTTTGGAACCAAGATACTTCATGCATGTTATGTTTTCAAAGGTTTGAGTTTGGTTTTGCACAATTGACATACTTTTGGGCCTTGATTTCATGAAATGATCTTCGAACCATGATATTTTACAAGTTCCTAGATATTTTTCAGAACTTTGGCCCAAGAAGATGAGTTTTGGGGTGTGGAATTCGAGTTTGGAGCTTGGGAGTGCAATCTAGAAATTCCAGATTCTACACTTTCGCTCGAGCGACATATTCTACCCTCGAGCGGCCACCTTTGTTTTGTACATCCACTCAAGTGACCTTAAGTCCGCTCGAGCGTGAAATGTATGCTCCCAGAAGTTTGTATGTTTTGCAGACCGCTCAAGCGGCAATAGTTGCGCTCGAGCAGGAGCATGAGTCTCACGCTTGAGCAAGAGTTAAGCGGCCATCGAGCGGAAATTTCTCACAACTAGTACTTTTGCAAAGTTTACAGACCGCTCAAGCGCAAACTTGAGCGGGGAAAGTTGTGCTCGAGCATCCCCTCACATGTTTGCATGTCCGCTCGAGCGAGGGAAGTCGCGCTCGAACGAGACCCCTATTTTCAGCAAGTTTTGTTAAATGTATTCAAGTGCATTTTGGCATCCTCGTTGCATTCTAAGCATTCCTAGGTCAATATTAAGACATAATAATGAGGGTAAAATGTAGAAATACACTAAAAAAAGAACGTAATGAGTTAAGTATATTCCAACGTATGTTTCAAATGTGTATTTGTTATGTGTTGATGTAGGTCATGTGCCATAAACAGTTTGATTAGTCTGCTCTGTTTGTCTGCAATCGGAGCCATCTGTGAGTAATAACTTAGTAAAGCTATGTTCAACTTTATTTATTTTCTGTATGATGAAATAAGATATGTTTTCTAAAATGTTATGTTCTGTATAATGAATGATTGTCCAATTTCTAACAATGTATTTGTGGCATCCTTAGTATCATGTGATATCTGTTAGCTGTTCTCCGGTATCAGAGGTTCCATTATGGAACTTATTATGACTGCACTTTGTTACCCGTACCGGAGGCGCCATCATGGAGCCCAGCATATCTGTTATCTATTATCCGGATCCAGAGGTTCCTTTATGGAATTGGTTGCTCATAACCACCATCTGTTTTGCATCTGTTCTGTATCTACTCTGTTAGCGCTAATAGATGTACCACGTATGATCAAACATGAACTATGTTTTATGTATGTAATATGAACATGAATATGAATATGAATATGTATATGACTCTGTTCATGAATCTGAATTCTGATTTCTGAATTTGGTATGGACTTCATTCATTCAAACTCTTTACTCTGTTATTATCCATTGGGCTCCTGCTCAATATTTATATTATGTATGTAGGTGATCAGGCACGTGACCAGGCTTAGAGTTGAGGACTTGGCATTTCAGTTTTTGTCTACCAGCCTTTGTGCCTCCCGAGGAGGTTCTAGATTAAGTCAAGTTTAGTGGCTATGTTTTTGTGAATGCATAAGACTTTGTTTCTTTTGATTTACGAATAAGTTTTCTGCTTCTATGTATATGGAGTGACGTGCAAATACTGTATCTTTTGACGTCACTCATATGTTTATAAAAGTGTAAGATTATTTGTCCCATGTATGTCTCCACAGCTCGATGGACAATGCATATTTTATATATTTGCTTCCGCAGCCCCTAATTATATGCTATTCTGTTAAGAGGCCTTTGGTAATCCAAGGATTACTGGCCGGTTATGATGCTAAACCTATAGGGGCGGGTTTGGGACGTGATAGTTTCGGATTTGTATTTGGCGTTCTTTGTGTGGGATTAGTTTGTTTGTAATGTGTCTTCGGTATCGGATTGTGGTTGGTATGTATACACGGTGTGCCGACGGCGAGTGTTTTGTGGGAATTTTCCATATTGATGTTTATGTCGATGGAGTAGGAGTTTATTGACATATGCTATTGCAATTTTAACATATGACGGTTCCCGTTTCGAAGATTTGCATTTGGTGGGTAGTGTTGTGTTATTGTAACATGGCTTAACCATGCACAGTTCAGTTTTCTATTTGGTGTTCTTGTGTGGGAATTGGTGTTTGTAATGTGTATTTCGGTGTTGATTTGTGGTTGGTATGTATACACAATGTTCGACTGGTACATTAGTTTTGTTGTGTCCGTAGTAACTTTCTTCACATATCCTGTAACTGTTATTGTTTTTTTGAATGGCAGCTGTGCTTGTCTCCTCGTTGCCAATCTGGTCGAAGTATGAACTGAAAAACGCGACTCCGGAGTTCTACATTCTGCCTTACGTCTCTCACTCTACCGGCTTGCACTATCACAACAATATTAACATTACCAAATCAGCACAACGAACACCCAATTAAACAACAAAAACAATGACAAACAATAGGACAATACCATAATAACAATGCACACTAACACTATTATCCTAGCACAAACTTCCATTACAAAACCCTTCATTCACCATTGAACTGCTTGCCCCAACGTGTCTGCGACAATGTTGTCCACATTTCAACACTGCATCTGCAACTACCACTATCATACATTTGTAATCAAAACACTTTTCGACTAATGTTTCAAAAAAACACCGGTGTGTACGATGTCCGTTACCCAAGTAACTATATCGACACAACAACATCATCGGTACGAACCTCACTGAAATTTAAGGACTTTACAACTTAACATGAACATTGAAATTTTAACAACACCATTTCAACTATTAACTTATTCATGTACCCTACACAAACAAGGGGCCACAACCCACAAACAAACAAAAACAACCATTTCCAATGTCCACCTCCTCATTTTTTATCACTCACGAACACATCACCCAAAACCAGTGGTCCCTCACCCACGTAAACAAACACACAAATAGACCATCACAAAACAACAGCACCACGACAATGACTTACTCAAACAAAGACACAAATCCACATTACATCACAACTACATCATAAAAAAGGACACAACAGCCGCAACCATTAAACCCAAAATAAAAGTCCTGCCATTAGCACACCAAGATATAACACGGTACACAACATCATCTCAACGTATTATCGTACACAATATCAACAATCGACGATGGGTTACAACATAACAACTCCATTTCAACAATCCCTAATGAGAAATCACAATCACAAAAACAAACAATACATACCTGCTGCCATGTGTTCCCACGACGATCGCCGGCGCCGACAATGTCTTGATGTCTGATTCAACGCCAATTGATGGACGAAACGGTGATGAGACCCAACTTGACGACGTTGCAACGTATTTCTACGAACGAGGGTTTGAGCTACCTAGGGTTTTCGGCGGCAAACAAATGTGAAATTTCTAATTTACATCAAGATTACCAAACCAACAACAACAAAATCACAGGAATCACGTGGCCAGAATTGCTGCAACGTCAGAATCACAATCCACAACCCAGAAACAACCGTCCATATTCACCTGCAGTAGAGGGACAACATCGGAACAATGCATTTCAATGTTGGAAACTATGGTAAATTTAACACCAACAAAAACCCCTATTTACCCTTAATTTTAGACACGTACCTCAAAATGCCTTGAGCTCCAAAGTCTTTAACATTGATATGGGATCTATTTGTCTTCAAAAAAAGATACAAGACTAAATGGTTTAATATTTCCAAAATCAGGATTTAATGGTGCTTTACCTTAGAAATAATTTTTTGACATTTATTTTTGTCAAACTAATTTATATTTTATCAAATTGACAATTTTGCCTTGAAATAGAACAATAGTGTCTTCAACTGTTCTTTTTTGGAATGAGATTCAAAATTGAAGGTCTAATGTATCACAATTGAAACATTAAGGACTAAAGTGACACAAGTCCCAAATTACAGAAGCCATTAGTATAATTCGCTCTTTATTCTTTTTCCTTTTTTCAATAATGTTCTAAACATTTTGGTGAGTCTGTGGCAATATTCTTAACGTCCAGTGACGTTCTAGGCATTTTAGCAATCTTCAATGAAATTCAGAAGACTCCGACGATACTTTGACAAATTTTTGGCAATACTCGAATGATTTTCTGATAATGTTGAACATTCAAGTGAACCTCCGGTAGCTGTCTAAAAGAAGTTTGACGAAAATCCGATGATGTTAAAATGTGCAACGTTGTTAAATTTAAAAATAAATAAATAAAAAATAAATTTTTTTAGTAATAATTAAAAATATATAAACCTAATTAATATAAGCATTTTATTTTGAAATTAGAGGAATTTTAACTGTGGAAAGTGTACGTGGGTCAATGCCCCTTAATTGAGGGACTAACTTAGAAAGAAAGGCCAATGATTAGAAAAGATTGACCTAGAAGTGTCTAGGGTTTTTTGAACTGTACGCAAAGTGGCTAGGGTTTTGGGAGGAATTATCTCATGATTCCGGAACACTAATGATCGTGTGTTCATTAGAACTGTATGCAAACTTGATTTAAAATTTTTAATGAGTTTTAAATTAATTTTAAATTTCACTTATCTCAAACAAATTTTAATGAAGTAAAGTTTGAATAGTTTGATTGCAAAGTTTGACTATCTTTTTCTTTTGGTACATATATAAGTTTAGGGTAAATTATATTTTTTATCAGTGTTTGATTTAAATTTTATTTTTATTTTATTATTTTAGTTTGAATAATTTAATCTATATATTTTAAATTTATTTTTGATTTGGTCATTTTGTTCAAATTTTATATTATTTTTTCTACGTGTAAATTTTAGAAGGCTGATAAGTATCCCAAAAATCATTAATTTTAACTTTCAACTTGAACATAATGAAAATTTTGAAAAAAATACTTAGAGTGTAGTGACTAAATTGTTTAATTTAAAATAATAGAGATCAAAGTAAAATTTAAATTAAACTATAGAAGTTAAAACTATAATTTACCCATAAAGTTATCAGGAAAGTAAATGGTTGTTCGAACTTGATTAGAAAATATAAATAATTTTAAAATATATTTAAATTTGACTTATTTATATAACATCTCTAATAAATTTTTAACCAATAAAATATAAATTAAAATTAAATAATTTAATTCATTTTGCAGTGCTAATGTTTGCCAAATAACAAAATGGCCAATTGAAGAAAGAAAAATAAATAAAGATAATGTAGCCATGTGGCCCTGCCTTTTGGGCACAGGCCCATGATCTGGACCATGAAACCTTTTTTTGATGGGCTTCATGAATTTTATGTTCATTGTTTAGATGTTGTTGTATCCTATTTACCAATTCCACACTCTGTTTGTTTCCAATTTTCAGAATTTATTTTTTAAAAAATTATATTTTTTCATTTTTTGTATTTTTTTTTGTTTTCACTAATTTTTTTAATATTTTAAACAATTTTTTTAATTTTTAGACACACCTAATATAAATACACTTGGAAAGTATAATATTTGTAAAAAAAAAAAATCTTTAAAAAATTCACTAAATATCAAAATACAATATATATATATATATATATATATATGTGTGTGTGTGTTTGTGTGTGTGTGTGTGTGTGTGAAAATTCAATACATTTTCTGTATTTTTGTGTATTTATTGATTGTTTAAAATATTTTTTCACAAATAATTTACTATTTAGATACATTTAAGTAAGGTACATATAAAAAAGTAAAAAAATTACTTAAAATTTAAAAAATATTCACTAACAACAAAAAAACACGAAAAAAAAACTCAATTTTCAGAAAATTGAATTTAGAAAACTGAAACTAAACACACAAAATAGAGTTAAAGCTCATAATTACAAACTTAAGAAATAAAATAAATAAATAAATAAAAACGGAGTTAGGGCTCATTTGTTGTCTCAAAAATGAAATTTAGCTATCTTAAAATTAGCCTATTTAGTAATAAATTAATTAGATTAGTTACAAAATTTCAAACACATCTATATTGCAACACCCTTCAATTTTGAAAACAACCGCGCCAAAGGCCTCGAAAAGAGAGGCGCGAATTTGCTTCGAAAACTTTTTTTTTTTTCTTTTATTTTATTTTTATTTTTTTTGAAAGGATTTTTATGTGTACCTTAAAATCTAAATCCTAATAATAAAAAAAAAATCAAACCAACACAACCCAATAAATAAAATAAAATAAAACAAACCAACATAGCCCAACAAATAGGAAAAAAAAAAAAAAAACCAACAACAACAATTTAGCCTATGTGGTTTAATAAGATTAGTGAGTTAGGTTAGACTGATTGGGTGATAAAATTGACTGATCAGTTAGACTATTGGCTAAAATTTGTTAATTTCATATAGTTTTGTACAAGTCTTTACTATATTTTTATTTCAAATCAGAAAGACTCGGAAGAAATAAAAACCTAAACCTTAAATCCTAAACTCTAAACACACCCCTACACATAACCATCCTTAAAAAATAATAATAATAATAAATAAAATTACAACAGCCCAACAAATAAATAAATAAAAAAAACAACCAAACTAATACAACCCAACAAATAAATTAAAAAAAATAATAAAAACAACCAAATCAACACAATTTCAAAGAAAAAGAAAAAGAAAAAAAAAATACAAATTCAAGCCACATTCGAGGCCTCAAATTCAGGCCTCAATCTTTTTCCTTTTGAAACAAAAACTACAATCAAATCATTTTGAATGGACATTTGTATAAAATTTATATGTATGTTAAAACTTTAGAATTTTGGAAAATTCTATGCTGTGTACATTTTTAAGGTTATGTCATATGCATCGTAGTATAAATTGATATAATTTTCCTATAAAATTTTGTAACATCAGCTACAAAATACATAATTTAACCATAAATTAATGTAATAAAAAATGTCGTAACTAAATTACAAATTTTTGTAACATCAATTACAAAATTATGGATATTTTATTACACTAATTTGTAGTGAGGTTAAACATTTTGTACATAATATCATATAATTTTGTGATAAATTTACGTCGATTTATAATAAGATACATAGAGCGTGGACATCATAGATTTTCCCTAGAACTTTTCCTTTTTTTGAGAGTATTTCTTGTGTATTATTTGAGCGTGGACCGTTGGATTAGTAGGTTCCACAAGACCAAATAATATAACTTAATAGTTTTTTTTGTGTGTGTGTGTGTGTGTGTGTGTGTGTTGCTCAAGAAGAATCTAATGCACTGAATACCAACTCTTAGTTATGTAGCTAAAAACTACACCAATAGTCACCTAAACACACATTTTACATTCACAAAATGTAAAATATGTGCTTTTGGGAGGCCGGGGCTTAAATAATATATATATATATATTTTTATTCTAAATTTCTAGCATTACAACATGGTTATCTGAGGTTAACTAATTATTAGAAAATTATTTAAAAGCTACAACAATGAGTTCTAATAGCTCTAAATACACTGTAGTTTCAATTGATTTGATATTTTGATCTTTATTTTGTTCTAATAGCTCTCTTTTTAGTAGTATATATCACCACTAATTTGATATTTTGATCTTTATTTTGTTCTAATAGCTCTCTTTTTAGTAGTATATATCACCACTACTAGTTATTATCACAGTCGGCATCTGAGGCGGCGGTATCTTTTTTGAAAGAATCCAATAACAACTTTTGGATTCCTTGCCTTGTCTCCAATTCACTACCTCTCTCCTCTCTGCTTTTTGCATAGGCCTCAAAGAACTCTTTGTTTTCTTTCTCCAGCTCCTTCCACACTAAAACACATATTACAAGACATAATTAACAACCGCTATACAGGACCATTCCGTATAAATTCTAAGAAGTGATTATAACTTATGTTAATTTGAGAGTTTGTTATAAATTATTTGATACAGTTTCTACTTATAATTTATTAAACAGAAACAACTTCAATAAGCTAGAAAAAAAAAATTGATTATTTAGAAACTAAAGGAGTACTTTTAATTTTTGCTTTTTGATTATCAAATTTTAACTTAAAAAATATCTACCAAACAAAGCCACGATGCTACATCCACTTAATTTATCACACCTAAATGATCCCTAATGATGTGATATTGAAGTTAGACTCATAATGAAATGTTTGACAAATCAAAATTTGATACTTGTCAGACACATCATTAGAGTGATTTTTAGGTATAATAAATTAAAGTGTCTTAAGCATTTATATTTGCATAGTTCTTAACTAACATCACAAAGTGTTAGTATTATAAATCGGAAATCAAAATAATAAGAATTGGTGTTAATATACACATAATTTTACAAACTTTTCTTAGTTATAGACCATATTATTAAAATGAATATTGTTGCAATTTTCAAAGTTCTATTATTGTATGACTTAAAAAAAAAAATTGAATAAAATTAGGACGCATCATTTTCTATCGTCTACTAACAATAGGAGCAAGTCTCACAACATGTGATGATAGGAGATCTGTTTTTATTGTTACTAGGAGATAGAAAAATAGTGTATTTGTAGCACGACTCGAAAAAACATTTGTAGGCAGACGTGTGAACTCCTAATCTAAAAATTCTAATGCATAGTCCAATTCAATTTTGTCATAGAATTTTGCCGTCTACTTACAATAGGAGCAAGGCTCACACCATGTGATGATGAGAGACCCGTTCTTATTGTTACTAGGAGATAGAAAAATAGTGTGTTGTAGCACGACTCGAAAAAAATTCTTAGGCAGACGTGTGAACTTCTGATCTAAAAATTCTAATGCATAGAGTCTAATTCAATTTTGTGCACATAAAAAAGATAAATAAAAATAAATAAATAAATAAAACCTCTTGTCAGTGTAAAATATGGAAGGTGAGTAGGTAGATAAAGATAACCTGTGGAAGTAATGATTGGTTGGATATTTGCGTGGTTGGAGAGAGCTTCCATGCACTCTTCTTTGCTCATCTTGAATATGATGCACTCTTCTATCAGGCGTTGTACCTGTTTCAATTACTCATCTCATCATCATCATCATCATCATCAATGTATTACTACATCAATAACAATAACAACAAATCAAAAAACAAAAACAAAAACAAAAAAACAACTAATAACCAAAGCAAAGATTGTAGTTATTACCATACGGATATAGGAAGTAGAAGATTCACCCATGATGAGTTCTCTTTGTTTTTGAGATACAAACTCTAATATATAAATATTATCTACAAAACCCTGTTTGGAATCCGAATATATGATCCATGAGAAGAGTTGAGAAGTAGAAGAGCCGAGAGGTTTCAGTGTTGCAAAAAGAAAGTTAAGGATGACGTGGAATAAAAAAGACGAGAAAAAATAATACTAAAGAGAGAAATAAAAGAATTGAGCAAGCAGAGGAATTGTCTCGATTATTGTGGTATTATCTACTAATAAAAAGAACAAAAATGCTATCAATCTTAAAAATTCTACCAAATATTTTACGTGAATACACATAGAACTCACATTGTATAAATCCCTAAGACATTTGATAAAAATTTTAATAAAATTTTTAAAATTTCTAACATTTCTTTAAAAAGAAACAAACTCTTCCCCAATTTATTAAAGTGAGATCAATGGTCTAGTCCAAACCCATAAGCCTATCACAGGGGGTTTCATTCCGATAATATGGCATCTTACTTTTTTAGGTCACTGTACATAGATCATTTATAAACAAGGTTTTAAAAAGTAATCGCAACCGTTACGTAACGTCGTTATGTAACGATTGTGGTGGTTGCCGCCACCTATTACGGCTACTATAATAATGTGACGGAAATTTACATGTATAACGGTCGTTTCAGTGTTACGTAATGGCCGTAGTGGTACCGTAATGGCTGTAACGGTTCGTTACACACCGTTGCACTTTTTTATAATATTTTAAATAACTTCTTTTCTAAAAAATAAATAAATAAAAACTTACAAAAAAGAACGAATACTCAAGTGATCCAAGTCCAAAGAAAAAAAATCTTATATGAATTTATTTTCTTTATAATTTTTTTAAAATTTTTATTTCATTACATTAGCATGTAAAATAAAAATATATAACCAATAGTTGTATTTATTTTTATAATCATTTTATTCATATTTAATTATAAATATTTTTATTTTGTTACTGTAATGTGTTGTCTAAAAAATGTCTTTAAAAAACTCAAAAATATTTTTTGTTTATGGCACAAATTTTATTTTTATAATCATTTTATTTAATACTTAATTTAAATAATTTTATTTAGTTATTTGTAAAGTGTTGTCTAAAAAAATGTCTCAAAAATAATTTTTATTTATAGCACAATTTTTAATTTTATAATCGTTTCATTTAATAATTGTGAATATTTTTTATTCAATTAGTTCAGGTATTGGTCAAAAATAATTTATAGACATTTAAAATCAATTATTCTTAAAGTCATTAACTATTGAAACAAAATGTAAAAAAACTCCTCTTGTAGTGATTGAAAATATGAAATATATTGGATAATACTTAAAAATTAACAAAAATTGATCAAAATCTATTTTAAACACTAATAAATGTAATTCTAGAAAGAAAAAAAATATGTGTATCGGTAAGTATTCTTCAAATTTTGGGAGGGAGAAAAAAATTTACGATTCCGGTTACCACAACCGTTACACTACGACCTTTATACCCCGCACCCACAATCGCAACCTTGCTACCGCAACCTTTTTTTAAAACCTTGTTTATAAACGAAATTAAATTAGTTATAGGGTGAATTACATTAATAATCTCGATAGTTTGGAGTATTATTTTGATCCCTGACTTTTTAATTGTCATACATATTATTCAAATAAAGTCAATTGAAGGACAAAATCGTTATACAACTTATTTTGTGTCAGTTAACTTATATATTGTTTGAAATATAATGGCATTTTTCGTAATGAATAATGTTGTAATTTTTTTTGTTATAAAATTCCGTTTAGTTTGGTTTCAAAAAAAATTTCTAAGAAACTAAAAATTAAATTATTGAAAAAAATTAAAAACACATTTTTATAAAATTTTATATTTTGAGAAGGTAGAAATAATTTTTTAAAACAGTTTTTTTTTTATATTTATTTTCGTTAAATTAGTTTTTATTTTTTTTCAAAAGTCAAACATGGCAACAATTTTGATGTCATTATTAAACCAATTCATTAAATCAAAAAATTCAAAATTAAAAACATTTCATATATTAAACATATCAATTATATATTAAAAAATATAACAATTTATTACATGATAACCATCCAAATATATCAACAAAAACAATTACCCATTACATGATCATAATCCAAACGTATACTAAAAATTAATTTGGTAAAAAATAAAAATGTAAAAATGTAAAAGATTTATCATTTTTATAAAATTTTATCTTTGGTGAGTATAAATAATTTTTAAAAATTTAAAAATAATTTTTTGACATTTATTTTTATCAAACTAGTTTATATTTTATCAAATTGACGACTTGGCCTTTGAAATGGCGTAAGAATGTCTTCAATTACCCTTATTTAAAATAAGATTCAAAATTTAAAATTAAATGTATCATAATTGGAAGGTCAGAGACCAAAGTAACAGTCTTAAACTATAAGACTGTTAGTGTAATTTATTCTTAGTTTTAGCCATACGATTTCATCGCATTTTTTTTTCTCAAGAAATAGATGATCTATTCTTATCGATCTTTTTTGAAAACAAATATACTCAAAGCATGTGGTTATTGTGGGGATATATTTTCTGAGTACCAACACGTGGCCAAGGTGACACCGACGTGTCAGCCAAAGTGCCACGTGTCGTGGTCGTGACGCCGAGGTGATCTCGGATAGGCCGAGGTTATCTCCGAAGATATCGAAGTCCGGGATAAGCGGATAAAGGATAAGAGTCCTAGAATGAGGAAGGACTTTAACCTGGATAAGGATAAAACTCATAGGGAGTTTATCTTTATTTATGGGAGAGTCCAAGATAAGCACTAAGCAGAAGACCATTGAAGCTAGGCTTCTATTCGGACTAAGATTGAGTTAACTATAAAAGAGAGGCACCCCCATGGGTCTAAGGTATGAATTTTAATTCTGAACAGTGAGTTAGGCACTTGATTTATCTTTGAGAGATAACTGACTTGATTGTCGGAGTGCCCCCGGGTGGACGAACCACTGCCGGAATCTCTTCTTTCTATTGCAGGTCAATCAGGCGCCATCTATTCTGCCAGTACGCTCCAGTTGAATACTGAGTTGGCAGTGTGGTCGGAAATTGACACACACAATTTGGCATCGTCTGTGGGAAAGAAAGGAGAATAGATGGCCAGCGACGAACGGAAGGATAAGGTTAGGGATGAAATCCCTGCTGCAAACGGTAAACACGTTAACCCTAACATGGAGGAAGATGGTTGCAACGAGGAGACTCAGGACCAGAATCACGACAGGAAAGACGTCGGCCAGGAGGGCGACGTACTGAAAAAATCGGATCGAAGCGAGTATTACAATGAGGACGACCTCTAGGTATGGAAAGATAGATGCCCACGGAGGGACGAAGAGGTAAAAGAGATGGCGAACAAATTGGCAGACCTGCAATCAGTCGTCAATTTCATGATGCAAAAAAATGTCATGCAGCCACCATTCCCGCTGCAAGACACGCCGATACCAGCGGCCAATGCCCAGAATGGAGGGCAGAAAAGCATCCCTGTAGCCCCCCAGCACACCAGAAGTGAAAAACACTCTCACCGGTCTTCAAGGGAGGTCGGGCGAGGAGAGTCGAGGAGGGAAGAATCTCGAAGGACACATCGCACTAAGGAAGCGGACCCCAGAGAACATCAGCGTGCTCGAAGGCAGAAGCTGTGCTTCGACACAACTAATGGAGAAAGGTAGAAAGGGGCTCACAACGAAACTGAGAGTAGTGCACCGAAAAGACTGAAGTCAGGAGATAGCCGAGCTCTTGGGCGGAGCAAAGAGGGCTTGAGAGATTACCTCAAGAGGAAGAAACAAAATGCCAAGGTAACTTCCCCTGTTAAGCCGAGAACACCATTCTCGGTGGAGATGGACAAATTTGAGGCTCCGAAAAGAATCAGTATGCCAAGGTTCCAGATATACGATGGTAAGTCAGACCCCAACTGCCACGTCAGATTATACCTGAACTCGATGGCATTGTACACTGGGAACAAGCCGTTGCTCTGCAAGGTGTTCCTCTCATCCTTCGGGGGGATTGCATCAGATTGGTTTCACAAATTGCCAAAGGGAAGTGTGAAGACCTGGGAAGGCCTGGTTGAGATGTTCGTGGCCAGGTTCGTGACAAACAAACTACAACCATTAAGGGTAGACGCCCTAATGGCTCTGAGAATCAGTAAGGATGAAGGCCTTAGGGCCTACGCTAAAAGGTACTATGAAGTGTTCAATCGAATACCCCAGTGTAAACAAGAGGTAGTGGTCGTATCTTTCAAGAACGGCCTAAAAGATGACTATCCACTACGAAAGTCTTTGGTAAAGACATTGACAAAAAGCATGAAAGAGCTCATGGCCAGAATTGAGAAATATGCCAGAGCCAAGGAAGACACGTCAGGAACTAATGAGACAAAGCAAGAGAAAGAAAACGTGTCACGACTCGAACCCGCCCCTATGGGTTAAGGCCATAACCAGCCAGTAATCACGAGGTTACCTACGGCCTCAAACCAAATAAAACAAAACTCATCAAAGTAAAAGGGCCAAACGGAAGCAAATTTAAAACCTTGTCCATAGAGCTGTGCTTATATGCACACCAAAACGTTCCAAACATTTATGTGTTAATAACTCACATCAAAATACATGCTAATCACAGAACACTATACATACAAGATCATACAAGTTTAAGTCAGTCGAACCCAAGACCTATATACAAAAGTAGTCCAATGCTTTTGCTAACATAACAAAACTATGAACAAAGGACAAAGGCGAAAACAGTCTCGTGCGTGAGACGTTTGGGCTGACTCCTCAAAACTTTGACTGTTTCTCACAATTTCACCGAGGCTGGTTCTGGACGTCCCTTGGCTCACCTACATGTACATGAATGAACGTGAGCGAAAGCCCAGTGAATAATATCGAATAAGGAAGATACATAAACCACTCTGTCACGACTACATCAATCGACCTTTGGCCCAACCATTTATGTCAATCGGCCTTTGGCCCAATCATTTATGTTAATCGGCCTTTGGCCCAATCATTTATGTCAATCGGTCTTCGGCCCAATCATTTATGTCAATCGGTGTCCACCATTCAAATTAATGAACTTACAAAACTTACATAGAAGTAAACAATTGGACAACAACATATTTCAAATATCTTGTTAAGATATTACTCACAGTGATCGGCTTGTGGATTTGCCCTGGAGCTTAGCCCTACACATCATATA